ACATGCAATCCCTGTCTCATAAAAAAAGAAAAATCAAATATAATCTCACCTTACGACCCCCCACCAAGTCATAGTGGGCATAGTGTGGACCTCCGGGCTCACCAAAAACCTTATAGGTAATCAAGTCTTCAGGAACAAGCTTAGCCGTTTCTGTTTCATATATGTGATCACATCCGTCAAAAAACTAAAGTTAGGTACAGTTTTTATGTTTGACATATGTTCTTCGATAAAAACATAATATCTAAACAGCTTTTTTCAACTCCACATACCGTATACAGCTTCGGGAGGGCAGATTAGATCTTGGTCACCAGCGACTGCTAAGATAGGCACCTTGCTCTTTGGGAGATGTTCTTTGTAGAAGAAAGTACCACTCCTATCACATAAACCACCCTTCTCGAAAACTGATTTTAACTGTAAGAGAAGCTTAGAAGGTATTGTACCTTCCATTTCTATGATTCAGTCTTTTAAAAGTTGGGATATAGATTATGCAGGAGTATGTGTAGGCTGCAATGGCACTTACAGAAGTTGTTCAAAACAAGTTTTTGGAACAGCTTTTGATCCATTTCTTGAGCCGAAATCTGATAATTTAGCCATGATAAAGCATAAGGAGGATAGTTCGCGAGAGGATAAACGGCAGCAAGTATTGGCCCTACTGGAATAACAGGAATCTTTAATGCCTGAGCAGGCTCCGCCTGCAAATGAAGAACTGATTTACTTAATTTATTATAATGTTAAACTTAGAGAGACATCATTGGAGAAAACAAAAATGCATCATCACAGTTTCATTTATCACTTGCCAGTGGTAAAAGCAACTTGAGAGATGATCTTGACGGTGAATAGTCAAGTGACGATGCCAATGTAACAACTGATGCCAGCCCAGAATGCTTTCCAAGAAAACCTGAAATTGCAAACATCAAGAACTTCACTATTGTTTACATTCTTTGTAATAAGATTTTGAAACACAAAAATAACCAACATCCCTCAACACTTGAATCATTCTAATCACAGGCATTACACTGTTGAGTTTGAATATGAACACAGTTTCACCTGGGAAATAAATGGATTAGATGACAGTTATACAAGTGAATTGATTCACAAACTCAATGTTCTTAAGTACTTGTTAGGTCCAGAGTATTGTTTCTTCCAAGGCCAAATGGAAAACAGTTTTCCCAGTCTTTTTAAGCATCTTGGGCCCAAGATGACGCGTAAGGGCTTATGGCTGGGTTTGCAGCTACCGAAAGGTGCGAGATACAGCTGAGGTACAAGTCAGATCATGAACCATGCTGTGTAGACAAGCTTGCACGAAATGCAGAGAAAATTTAATTTTGATGGTTCTTTCACAGAAGCATGAAAGTAAATGAAAAGGCAATTCAGCAAAACTTACGACAACGTGAGAGAGTTGCATATAACAGGATACCCCCCATTGAGTGACCAATAGCGTGCACTTTTCCATCCTTCGGTTGGCATTTATTCCTTATATACTCCATCTAATGCGAACAGAAGTACAATATCAATGATAAACTTATGAAGCAATACTACTATAAATATATACTACAACTTGTTGGAATATATACATAATTATCATGAAGGAATGTCACCTCACCGCAGCAGGCACATCCTCTTCCAGGTAATGGTCGAAGTCCCAATCATTATTCGTAACCAGCTCAAGTTGTTCCTGAAATTCCTGCATGGAGGCTATAAGACGTTCTTGCAGCTCCAAAACCTGCGCTGGGAATAATGGCTGATCCCCTCCAGTAGTAGTCTGAAGCCGACGTTTCAAATCCCTGATTTGACTAGCAATAGTAGAATTTTGCCTCATTCCCCGCAAATCTGAGGGAACAAAGGATTTATTTTGTTAGTTTTATTTTAAACATAAAATCAGTAGATAGTAAGACGTAGAAGCTCTCCAGGGTATGACACCGACCCCCACTGATAACGTCTGAAAATTTATTGGATAATCTTGTAGAGACATCCATCATCTTCGGTGTTGGTTGTGGTTCCCCATATTTAGTTACCATCTCATATTCTGACTCTCTGATTTTCATGGAAGGAGTTTCTGAGACAAACGAAGCTCCAAGGTCGTTGTTATGTTCCCCTGAGTCACCTCCGCGCATGCTTAATCCAGAACCACGAACTTCAAGGGTCCATGTATCAAATCCTTGTGCAGACATGAACCGAGCAAATGAAGACTGAAAGCAAATATATTGGTTATACAAAAGATCTAATGATGAATTCATAATAAAGAAAAAGGTCGTCAAGTTTTGGCGTTTAAAAGGAAAGGGCTACCTCGGGGGAGAGATCATAGCCAATAGCATTGGTTGCAACGCCTGACAATAATAAAAGTGGGTGGTTCCTGGTAGGTGCCTGAAAATAAAGTTCTTTTTTTTTGCATTACTTTCAAACGAAAGCATCACGAATTTCGGTTTTCTCTGATGAATTATCGAAAGAGAGCTGAATGAAGCAACTTTCAAACAAATAATGGAATTCTAAGATCCCCAGGAACACACAAAGTTGAATAATCCAAGTGTCAGATTGAAATTACAAAACGGAGAAGGTGATACAGAGAACCTGGGGAGAAGGCAGGTAGCGCCAGAGAGAGAGCTTCCAATCGGAGTCGGAAACAGGGACATAGTGAAGCTCGTCGGCGGTGCATGACGACCGCCGCTTATCGTTTTTCCTCCCCTGAAGCCAATTCAGAAATGCCACAGGCCTCGCCCGGAACGGCACCGACACCCTCCGGAGGGCAAAACTCTCAGCCTCCAGATTGGGGTCAAGGTGGCAAAATCCATGGCTAATGCGGTTAAGAAGCATGATTTTTGGTGTTGGGGCAATGAAGCTTAAAATTCGTTGATTTTAGCCTTTGAAGAATAAGAAGTTAAAAACCCCCGCATGTTAGGATTAGTTTTGGATGGAGTCTAAAATTTCTGGATTTATACATGATTGCGATGCGATGCGAGGTTGGTCTGTGCGGGAAGTTATTTGAAGACGTTGAAACTTAAAAGAGTGGGGGAAGTGGGAAAATTCCTGTTATGAACACGTTTCTTTTTAACGAATTATCAATTTATCACTTTTATCACTACCTGTCTAGTCTAATTTAACTCTTTGTTTTTACGCGTTTCTTCACCATCGAAAGAGATTAGTCTTATTACACCAAAAAAAAAAAAAAAAGGAGAGAGAGATTAGTCTTCTATGAAGATTGAAGTGGGTCCTTTGATATTCATCGGATAAGAAGAAGATTAAAAATGGTTTTTTATTGTGAATACAAGAAATTGCGTGGCGTGGTGGAAAAGATGAATTGATATTTTTTTATATAACATTAATAATTTAATTATTTTTCATTAACCTAGTAATGTTACTAGTATAATGTGAAAATTCATGTCAACTTAGCAAGTTGAATCATTAAACAATTGTTCATTAATAAAATATTTTGTTCATGTTAATTTAACCACGATTCGAGTATAATTTTAATTATTAACCTTTAAGATAGTTAGTTGATTAGTTCAATCACCGTTTCAATTTTTATGTGTTAAATACTAATATTTTTTGTTTTAAAATTTAATTTGATTAATATATACTTTTAAATTATACAAAAAATGTCACGGAATGATATTTGCCCAATGCACGTCTCCATTGGAGAGATCCAACTTCGACTGTGATGGTGACGGGAAACAACCACTCAAGCCGTGCGTTTTCAAAGCCTTATCAAATACTGTTAAAAAATATAAGATATTTTTAATTAAATTTCACTCTTCAATAAAATAATTATTTATTTTTAAATTAATTTTATTTTTTTATATTTACTTTTATTAAACACTCTATAATAAATAAAAATATTTTAAAAAAATAATAATTATGTCCTAAAATACTAAAAATATCATATATTTTTTTAATAGAAAAAGTATATCTTTGCCTTCTAAACGTTTGCTCTGACCATAAATGGCCCCGTTATCCTATGCCAACGTCACTCTCCATTTGTTGAGAAAGGTCATGAATTCGAACGGAGCGTCAATACGTAGGGTGTGTCTCCCACTCTTGGCCTTCCCTTCTTCCATTTGGGGCCAGGCCAGAAGAATAAAGCTTTGATAAAATTTCAATTATTCTTTTTAAAATTTACATACAAATGTAACAAAATAACAAGCTATATTTTCTTTTGTATTACATACGTAGGAGGCATGCTCACCAATGAGAAACTCACAAATTACTTTTTGAAAAAAAAATTGCATACAAATATATGAAAAAAATCAGCTATATTTTCTTTCGTATTAAGTAGAAGACATGCTTCTTAGAGAGGTATTTGCAAGCTGCTGACTAAATTAATCTTGATCAAAAATATGAGATACCGTACTCGTGCAACAAAAATGGTTAGACCATCTCTTTGCAAAGATGCAGTATCTCTTGAATTGAAGCGTTTCAGAAATCTTTTGTCAAAAAATTTAAGCGCTTCAGCAAGAGTTGGGATTTTGGGCCAAGGGAGGCAGAGATGGTGGGTGTCTTTCTGTCAACGGCTCATATTTTCTTACAATTTGATAAATGGTTTTATACCCCCCAAAAAAAAAACAATAGAAAGATTTATTTCACAATCTAACCTTGAAATTTTCTCCTTCCAGACCAAAATATAAGATATTAATAATTAATTTATAATTTATTAAAAATATTAGTTGAAATTTTAATTTTTTAAAAAAATATACATCTTTTTTAATTTTACCCTTATTAAACCATTTATAAAAGTATTTTAATAATGATAATTAAAATTTCAATGCATTATTTTAAAAAAAAGTAATAGAAAAAGGAGAGATATAATTGAAAAAATAATTATAAAAGTTATCAAATATTTTATACTTTGAAATAAGTAAAACTTTTAAAAAATATTTTATATTATGGTCGAATAAGTTTATTGACTACTTTAATATCCTACGCGAGATGCTCATTTTAAATTATTCTTTGCTAGGAAATTCAGATTCTGCTGTAGACAGGACAAAACTGCAGAGAAAATCAAACTATTGAAGTTTTCTGAAATCTCGTGTTTTTGTTAGAGGAAGACAAATTGCCAAAGTGACTTTTCAACTCCACACAGGAACACACACAACACAAGTAACAATGCTGATGAGGAATTGTCACCGGAAAACAAATCTAACGGCAATAGCTTGCCTTATTGAAATGAATTTCTGTGATCCAGAAAAAAAAGACAAAGAAAAACTAGATTTGCAATGTATGATCTCACGCTGCATTCATTTTTCATATGGAGATAATAGTGGTCGAATGAGAAAAGAAAACTAAACACAAACTAATCCTTATGAAGATTCTGTAGGAACCTAAAGTATCTCCATTACTAAAGATTGAAAGCGATGTTCCAACCCCTAATGGCTATGTAGTTCTGTTTGGCTGCTGAATGCTCTCTGCAGGAAATTATTGCGTAGATGCATCTGAAAGTGCCGCCGCAGCCGCAGGGGTCATGGACTGGTATTGAGAAGGCAAAGGAATAGCTTGCTGCTGTTGCATGTAGTATGCTTGTTCTTGTGCAGGTCCACTATAATCATAACCATAATTAGTTGTTGAAACAGGAGGATGAGCAGCAGCAGAAGAGGAAGCAACTGCTATGGACTGTGGTTGATGATGGATCTGAGGCACACCCACAAACTGTTGTTGCTGATATTGCCCAGATGGCATTTGAACGAATGCCGGAGTGGGAGGCACAGGTGCTTTGTAAACAGTCTGAGCCACCTCAGGTATGGAAGCTGTGGCAGGCTTGGGGGGGTAAACAGGTGGAGTGCCAGCAACACTTTGGGGTATTAATGGCCTGCTTGAGGTTGTTATCACACTAGGGTCAGCCATATTGGGTTGCACTGCCATGTTGTATGGTTGAGCGTGTCCTACAGGCATTACATAAACTGGGTACTGCTGATTAATTGGATGAGGAATTTGCTGTTGTGAAGGTGTGGTATAAACTGGGTAGTATGGAGACATTGGAACCTGACCTGTAGCTGCAGGATGGGGGATATAATGGGTATTTGCATGAACAAATTGTTGCTGCTGCTGCTGCTGGATTTGCTGACTTTGATCCAACTGTGAGGGTAATGTGTAATTAGAATCCTGAACTCGTTCTCTTTGGTACCCAGGAATGTGATCTGATATTTCACTTTTATTGGGATGTGATAATGTTGGTGCTTTCTGATCTGCATATGCAGCTTGTACTTGGTCCTGATAGTAAACAGCCCTCGAGAAAGAGGTTGCAGACGCAACACTACTGTCACTGAGCACAAAAATCATTATTATTAAGAATAAATGTATACACTGAAGTTGATAAAAGGAAAGATGCAAAATAAAGCAGTACCTTGCCACTGAATCTGGAGAAGGCAAATTTAAACCACCACTGGTCCTTGGTTGCACAAGCTGCAAAGGCAAAGGAGGCTTCCGAAGCCCTGCTGGTACTGCTTGATCTGATCTTTCATCATCAGAGATGACCCGATTCATATTCTCACCAGTCACCAAAGCTGGTGATGCCATGGTCATAGGTGCAGGGATTGTAGGCATAGGAGCAGACAACATAGTCATAACATACCCTTCATCTTGCTTAATCCCATTAGCACCAAAGGTCATTTGTGCTAACTGCTCCTCAATCCCTGGTCTCTGTTCTTCCTGGAGCCTGCTGTTACCGGTTTCAACAACACGAACCCGAATTGGAGGCAGATTAGCCATTGAAGGGGATGAAGAAGAAGACCCACATGATGAACTGTTGTCCACCAGAGGCGAGTCAGGCAAGGAATGGACATCTGGCAAAATTTTGACCTGTTTGTTGTTATCAACCGGAAACTCTGCAGCCTGAGCCTCCAGATTGTTGCTAGAATCATTAGCTGGAACCTTATCAAGGTTCAGGACGCCGCCGCCAACAGTAGCAGAATCCGATGCCCCACGGATGAGAATCCCAGAGTTGTTGAGAGCGTCCACGAACCATGTCTCTGACTTGGCATCATCAATGAGTGAACCCATTGAAACTGTGGACTCTGGCTTAGAGAAAAACAGAAACAGCCTTAACCTTGTAGGCCTAGGAGGAGCAGCCGCCGTTAAACGCTCGTGTTCTTCGATCATGTTCTCTAAATCTTCGTCGGTGGAGACTGTTATGAGATTGTCAAGATCTTCATGGGGTAGTTGGTACTTGAGGGTGAAGGGTCGGCCATTCAGCAGGGTGCGAGAGAGCCTGCCACAGAGCTCCTTCAGGGAGGAATGCCGATCGACGACGACGATCCTGGTGTCGCCGCCGACATAGCAGAGAGTCTTGTCATGTGGACGTGGCATGATGTGGCCGCCATAACTGCACATCAAACGAAGCTTGGCTCCAGGAACAGGAGGGAGAGGCTCATCAACCCAGTTGTCAACAATGCGGGAGCGAGGAGAGTTCTCCACTGACTCAGGGAAGATCAACTGATTATTTACAGCGTTTGTTATGGTCGGAGCTGCAGAGGCCTGGAGGGGTGCCGTTGAAGGTGGTGCCGGCGGCTGCGGATCCATCAGAGACAGTGCCTCTGGTGTGGCCGGAATTCAATAAAAGAAAGAGAAACGGAGAGAACTGGTGGAAGCTGATACTCTCATAGTTGATGCTAATTCCATTCTGTGACTTTATAAGTGAAAAGTAATTCCAAATGGATACTCCCAATGGAACGCTGAGTAGGCCACAGCTTGTTATTCTCTTATGAATTTTTAAATTTTAAAAGATGGCTTTAATTTAATTTCCCTAAGTATTGAATGACAAGTTTCAAAGAGCAAAAAGCAGTTTTAAAACAGACCATAGATTACACACCATTGAAGTGGCGGAGAATCACTTCAAGGCTCAAGCTCAACCTTTGGCCTATATTTAGAGAAGCTCATTTCATTAATTTACGAAACAAAGTATGTAATTAGCAACGAATGCATTCGATATTTTAACTGATAAATCTTTCTGCAGATTTCTTGCAAAAGGATGGCCCTTGCCAGCACCTTATCAGTTAAGATATGAATGCTGAAGGAAGTCAACTCTATAACAGTAATGCTCGAAACGTGACATCTCACATGATATCACATTCATACTATTACGCAAATAATGGACAGATTACGTAACAGGGAGAAAAGAGTGACACTGGGTTACATTTTGACCAAAGTTTGCTTGCCATATTATCACTCCATCCGGACCAAGTTTAAGATTTATTTGAAAAATTTGTTTTAATCCTAAATATGAGATCTCAATATTCTTTGTGCCGCTTATTTAATATTTTTTTCAGATTGCACTAATTAATTACATAAATTTTCTAATATTTAAGATTGTAAAGGGTATAAGTTACTCTTTCTCTGTTTTTTCATGAAGAAGACATTACAACTATATCTTTAGCACGCGTTTGCTTCTAGCTTCATGAAAGTAAACATGATCATACCATATATTATTACAATATTTAATATAAGAACAAGTTAACAAATCTTGCACTTGTAAAAAATGTTAATTATATCTTTAAAATTGTAAAAAAAAAAGAATACTCCTTTTGATCCTTTTTATGAGTGTTTGTAACTACTTTACAAAAATTAAGATGAGATAGTTAGATTGTTGATATTGTATCAAAATAAAAGAAATTTCCTAACTTACTTTTAATAAATTCATAATCTTTGAAAGCATTTTCTCTCTCATGTTATTTTTTATTTTCTATTCATCAAAAAGTGTGTGAAAGGGTAAAATTAAAAGAAATTCATTAATGACTCACTTTTTAATACAAAGTTACTTATAAAAAAGACTACGAATTCTTTCTATAAGACAACTTATATATAGGTGACAGGAGAGAGCATATAACTTTTCAATTTTGAGTAATTAATGATCATAATAATTGTTGTTTATGAATTTAAATGACAATAAATAAAAAGGGGTTAAATTTAAAAAAACATCAATTACTCTGATTTTCCCTTATATTTAAGACCCATAAAAAAAAAATCAACTTGTGTTAAAAATTGAGCTAGTATCTTGCAGTGTGTAGTGTTGACATATTTGGGGTTTGGTTTAGCTTCAAAGTGGATTGGTAGAGATGGTCAAAGTTGTGATTTGTGAAGCGAATAGAGGAAAACAGAGGCACGTGGGCGATATATCGGCACTTGTGCAAGGCCTGTTAAGTTACAGCTTGAATTATTGAGTGGTTGTTTATTATGAAGTTTTGTTCCCTTCTCATTTATTTTAGAGTTTACACTAAATTTTTTTGGATCTTTTTGATCAATTTTATAAACATAAATAAAATATTCCAGGGACCTAGCTACTGTATTTCATTGTTGACGAGTTTTGTCCTGTGCGCGTAAAGGTGTAAAGCATAATGACTCAGACTACGCTCTTTCGAAATGATCAACAGAGAATAGGACGATTTGATCACTCATCGTAACTTAGAGCCACTTTATCTCTAGAAAAAAATAACAATTAAAGATTTTTATATAAAATTTATATTAATTAAAAATTAATTATTATCAAAATTCAAATAAATATTTATTAATTTAGATTAATTTTTTATTAACAAGCCTTCATTTAAGTTTTAATAATAATTAATTTTAAATTAATAACAGTTCATTCAATTTTATTTTTTATTTGAGTTTTGATAATAATTTATCTTTAACTGATCTAAATTTGATATAAGTCCTTAATTGCTATTTTCTTTTATATCTAACTCGGTTGGTATCTATATAGAGAGAGAGAGATTTATGGGCTATTTAAAACTATTTTTATTTTATTATTTTAAGAACTGGTGTTTTGTAAAATATGTTCTAAGAATAAAAAAATAATAAAAATAAATATTTTTTTCATTCTCTTTTATTTTTTAGAACGATAATCCTGAAATATTTAAAAGTTATTTTTATTTTTCTGTTCTCCAGAATAATATTTTATTTTTTTTATTGTCTAAAACACTTTTTAAAAATATATTACTAAATATATTTTTTTATTCTTTTATTTTGAAGAACAGAAAATTATTTTTAAAATAGGTTTCCAAATAGGCACTTATCTTATTTTTTTTGTTTTTTGCCAACCTTTATATAGAGACTTATTATATTATTATCCATAAGTAAGTAGTATTATTGATTGGGATTTAACCACTGTCAAGTTTGAATGAAAGTAATTTTTCTCATTCACAAGATCTGAATAATATATGACTTCCTTAAAGGACATCGAGTTATTTAATCCCAACCATGGTTGGTATTATTAAAAACAAATTAATAACTATAAAACCTGTACTATTATTATTTGTATAGAAATATATATTTAATACAATATTCTCCGTCGTAGGAGGGTGCATTAGTTGAGTGAAACACAATCCAAGAGAGCAACTACGGGGGGACTAACATGGCCAAAAATAAAAGAGTGGAGTAATATACTTATTATTAATTATTACTTCAGTTTGAGTACGTACTATTAATTAATAATTAAATTATTTTGTCAGTTTAATATGTTGTGTTGATGTGCCAGTTTCTGGTATTCTGATGGCCACATGCGTTCTTGAGATCAGCATTCTGCTATTTGTGGATGTGCTCCTAAGCTGTAACAATGGAGGCAGCTAGATGGAGAGTCTGGTTCAATGAACAAAGTTAAAAATACATTCTCTTTAATTTTAAGTTTTAATTAACTTTCTTTCTTGCTGGATACAGTTTGAAGACTCCTATGTTTCGAAGTTTACAATTCCCATTATTCATATCCCCAGATTGAATCATGTTATCGGCATCATTGGATGCATATTTTTATCTTTTCTTTCCTCAACATCAGAATAATACTCACTCCTACAATACCCGGCCTTGTCTGCTATAATTGAGCACATCAGGTCAGGCATCAAACATGTGTTAAATCCTGCCTGGCCAAGTCAAGCACGAATATTTAACATTTTTTATGAATAAAATTTATTTAACGGTATTATTTTTGGTTGGGAGTTATTATGAACTATATTGCTTCTATAATTTTTTTGGACATTTTTATTATTATATTTTTTAAATCTCTTTTAAAATTTAAAATTTGCTTTAAACTTAATATTATATTTAAAAATTTTTTGAATTGATTGGGTTGAACTTGGCCTAAACACTCAACGTTGGACTAGCTCGAATTGCACATTAGGCAAGGCAATGGTGATACCTTGTTGTTGCTGGCCTTGTCTATATACAACCATACTCCCTCCAAGGCAATGGTGATACCTTGTTGTTGCTGGCCTTGTCTATATACAACCATACTCCCTCCATTATATAGAAGAAAATAATCAATTTACACAATTCAAAAAGTTTGATTGAGTATTATAATAATTATGTTTGGAATTTAAAAATTTGAACTAAATTATTCCTATAATTAATATAATAAATTTGTCTTGTAAAAATAAATATTAATTTTACTTAGGAAAATTTTAAAAAAATGTGACAAAATAAAAGCTTCTTAAAATTTTAAATTTTTAATTTAATTATAACTCAACCCTTTAATTTTAACTTATTATAACTTAGTTTTTATAATTTTAACTCAGTTATTACTTAATTCGTGAACTTTGACTCACTACAACTCAATTTTAATAATTTAAAAATTTTAAATAATGATCCCTATATTTTAATTTAAAATACTAGTCATAAATTTGAAAATAATTTTAATATTTATAATTTTTTTAGAATATAGGACTAATATTTTAAATGTTTAAAACTATAAGAATTGAGTTGTATCGAATTAAAATTCAAAAAACTAAGTTATAATTATAAAGATAGAGTTATGATGAGTCAAAGTTTAAGAATTGAGATATAATAAAGTTAAATTATAGGGATTAAATAATTAATTTTTTTTTTTGCTGTTCAATACATATAGGGCAAAGATGATGCAACTGAAAGAAAGATTGGAATTGAATCCACAAATGAAGGGGCCTACCTAGCTAATACTCCTTGAGGTTAATTAACGATTTTAATCTTAAATGACCAAGAAAACCGGTCAAAAATAAGAAGATATTTTCTACCAATTTAACATTACTCCAAAATATAAGGCACTTTATAAAAAATAAATAGCATTAATTTATTTTTTTCTCTCACAAGTATCCTTATTAATTCTATTGTAAAGATGGATTATAAAAGAAAGAAAGTAAAGGTAATTAAGATAGATTAAATTTATTTTCGAGTAATTTTGAAAAATGGGGATAATTTTTTTTACATTTAATATAGGGTAAATGAGCAAATTATCTCTGAATTTTATGTCAAATAGTATCATAGACATTAAATTCATTTATTATGTAAATTGGTCCTTTAACTTTTTAAAAAAGTACAATATGGTTCTTATTATTAACAAAAGCAAACTTTAACTGTTTGTTAATTAGAAAATGATGGAATTTTTTTAAATTATAGAAAATAATTAAAAAATTACAATAGATGACCCAAAAATTGCAAATGAGAACCTAAAAAATAATAGGAAATGACTAAATTTTTTTAGATTTTTTCTGTAATTTTAAGATTATTTTCTAATCAACTAACAATCAAAGTTAGCTTTTGTTAGTAGCAGAGATCATATTATACCGTTTTCAAAAGTTAAAAGAATAATGTACATAATAAACAAATTTATAGCCTATGATACTACCAGACCTAAAGTTAGTTAACAAAATGAGCTGAGCTCGTTGGGCTAACACGTTTAAATCCTAAAATAACTATGGCTGGGCCATTCAATTAGAGGATATAAATGAATTTTGTGTTTAAAAAGGCCGCCCCTTGACCCTTTATGCTTGATTATTAAAAAAAATTCAAGTAAAAAGTATCAAGTATCATACTTTAAGTCTCTTATCAACAACAACAATCACCTTTGATGATGTATTTTATATATATTTTAAATCCTTTGTCAATTAAATTTGTTATTTTCTAATCTT